GGTTTTTTAAGATCTAATGTCTTGCCCTTTCAGATTATTATATTCAGCCATTTCAAATCCAAATTGTGTCCCCTTTAGGGTCATCTCCCTGGAGAGCTTTCCTGAGGCTCGATGAGGTGCTGTTCCTACTGATTTCCTGAGTACCCACGGCATTTCCCTATTGCTGTCTGCATTACTCGGTTGCATAATTGCTAGTTTGTCTATTGCCTCAGTCCCACAAAGCCAGGAGCTTTAATCTGTCATGACATCTTCTGATTAGAATATAAGAGACCTTGGGGCTGGGGATTTGGCTCAATGGTTCCACTGCCTGCCTCAAAATCACAAGTACCTGAGTTCGATCCCTGGATAAAAAAAAAAAAAAAAAAAAAAAAAAAAAAAAGAAAAAAGAATATGAGACCTTTAGCAAGAATTTACTGTGCTTTTAAAAATGAGTAAAGCTATCAAGACAGAAGCTTGTTGGATGTGTTACAGGGGATGATGAATACATTTTGAAGGGTGAAGGTAGGTAAGGGTTGAAATATCGAATTCTGAAACACCAGGCAAAATACAAGGCAGGGACCGAGTCTAAAGCTGTGGGGAAAATAAAACCAAAATAAAGCAGCTCAGCAACTGAAGCACTGAGGTAAAGGGACACACGAACACACATGTAGCCCGACTGTGAGGTGACAGAACATAAACTGAGACCGAAGTCACGGCACAGGGTTGAGTGGTGAGACACAGGTGTCAGATCTGGTGTTGATTTTCCTAGCATTCTGACGGCTTCAGAACTAAAATTAGGGAGCTTTTGAAATTGGCTATCTATTATGGATAGGAAAGATAAAAATGAGATTATTCATGAAACATGTTAAAAACCAGGTTGAAGAGAGGCTCTGAGTCCCCAGGGTATCACCGCATAATTATGAATGGCAACATCCAAACTTAGAAAACAAATGCAACAACGTCGTATGACATCAAATTCAACATACAAGGATTGAATGTGATTGAATTTTAGGAAAATATTTAAGTCTCATGATAATGGTAATAAACATTCAAAGTAGTAAAACTGCAAGGATGAAAATTACATCATCCATAGGAAAAACTGGCAGTCTTTGGAGGCTGGGTAGGAAGGAAGAGAAGCTTACATCTGCAAAATCTGCAAACAAGTTTTCGGGCAATGGAATGGTTAAATATTGATTAAAGGAACACTATTTCAGAACCAGGTGTTTTTTTTTTTTGACAAGTAACTCCTTAGGTTTAGAGTATCTGTACTAGTACTGTACAGAGAATATCGACAATTCACTTGCCATTATTAATCAAGAGGGCTCTTCATTCGAACAAGACAGTCCTGTACCTCAGGTATCCACAGGTACCCCGCATGCAGCAGGCAGCCCTGCAGACATAGCACCAGGAGGCACGGCCAGCTCCGTGAGGTCTGTCTTGCCGAGCCAGCCCTATATTAGATGCTTTCACCTGTACTCTTTGATCCCTTCTTCCTTCTCTAAAAAGTACTTTGTAAATAAAAACAAAACCACACTCTAACCCAATGACATTGTTTCTGAAAAACCAATAAGAAAATTGCATTTCAAAGTAGTGAGGAACAGAGTCTGATGAAATTTTATACTGATTCTTCCGATATTCCATTCTCACTATTCACCTTGAAAATAAAATTTTAAGATCTGAAACTTGTCCATGTATCAGTTTGTTAACCTCATAAGTGAAAGCCAGAAACATATGATAATATGATTTTCTGTGTTTTGATAGAATTGAAAACAAATTAATAATGTTTAATACCACCCCGACAACACAAAATATTGTCACTTGGCTTTATAAAGCTCATTATACAGAGCTTTGGAAGATCATGTGAACATTTAAAAACACAGAATCCTTTTAATTATAAACAAAATGGGAGAAAATCCCATACCTGAATGGGATAATCATCCTACTTATGGGTATTGGTCATTTTTTATTGGACACAAAGTTCTTGAAGACAAAGATATAACTTATTTGCCTATACATGCACAGGCATAGTGCAATGCTTGATATAACAAATAATCCAAATGTTTTGTGAATAAATGATACTTTAAAAAATAAAACTTACATAGAGACCACTATGCACCTGTCACCTACCCAAATGCTTTCCAAATATTAACTCATTTAATACTTATTAAAGGAAAAACATCTCCTTTGACAAAGGAAATTAAGGAAGGAAAGGTTAAATTACTTGCCCAAATCACACAGTCAGAAAATGCGGGAGCCGGGAGCCAAACCCCAAGCAGAGCTTTGCTATAATTCATGTTCATAACATATCCAATTTTTAAGTAAATGCTCCTTTAAATTAAAAAATAAAATTATGTACATGAATATATACTTCATTATATCACCAAACTCAGACTAAGAAGGTCTTGGTTCAAATGTGTTTGTGGCTTTAAGTAAGTTCGTTAACCTGATGGATCCTCAATGTCCTCATACGTAACACCAGAATAATAATAGTTTGGATCTCACAAGCGTATTGAGAATTTTAAAAATTAACTTTTATGAAAATACTGGAACATAAGTCAGAACTCAGAATGTTAGCTGACATACCAAGGAGAATGATATCATTTTATTCCTTTTGCCTTTCAATAAGATACGTATTGTGTATTGCACATTATGTAGGTTCTAACAAATTCTGTTTCATAAAGCATTATTTTCAACATCCCTTAAAGCAGGACTTCATTCACTAAGAAGCCTTTCTGGATGCCAGGTAAGCTTCAAACCCAATAGCTTATTTTTGGAAAAAAAACAAAAACAAAAACAACCAGAAACCCCAAAAGACACAATATATTTCCTGGAAGCTGTTACGGGTTAAGTATCTAACACAAGATAATAAAATCTCTCTCTTCTAATTGGGAAATTAAATGATAAGAAAGATTGGGAAATTAAATGATAAGAAAGATTATGCTAGCAATACAAAAATGACATTTAGTTTTATCAAGATCCTCCAATATTAATGGTTTCCATAAAATCCACAGATTAGACGGGCAATGCAGCAAATGACCTTACATTCACCAAGACCCTCCAACATTCCAAGTTCTATCTGATCTGATCTGATAGAAACTATCCTGGCCAGTGGCTGTCAGCCAGTGGCTGCATGCTAAAGAAATACATCAAAATGCAGACCCCTTTCTGGGGTATTCTGATCTAATTGGTTATTTTTTTTAAGTTCCAAATGATTCTAATTTGCAGCCCCGATTGAGAACACTGGCCTAAGTTGTCACGGCAAACATGACCGCTATCTGATTCCCAGTTCACTTTTACTTTAATAGAAACCAACAGTGGATGATATTTTCATTCATGTTAACACTCAAATAGTCCAAAATGTTTACCAAGAACAGAGTTGCCACAGCACAACTGCACTGATATCTAGCTCCCTTTCAACCGACTGAAGCAAAGACCATATCAATGTACAATCTTTCATTATTTGGAGTTCAAAAAATACAAGAAAATACAGAGCAGAAGTTGTATCAGCTCATTATTTTCAACTTCATGAACCATATAGTCAAACTTTGAGATTAATTCATATTTTTGTGAGTCAGTTACAGCAAGGATTTCATGTTCACTACACTCAGTGTGTTGATGTGGTCAATACTCTCAGAACATTTTACAATATGACTGAATATTATTCTCGTGGCTGTAGTTCCTAAAATTAACTGTAGGTTAGAGGCATTGTTGAATCAAAACAAATCCCAGGTGAGGGATGTTTTGGGTTGTTAAAATACTGAATAGAAATGAGAGTCCACTGAAACTACTATAAAATGCAAAGGATTTTGAAAATCTAATCATCTTAGTTTCTCTTATGATACAAGTGTATAAAACCAAGAATGCCAACATTTTACACTTGAGTTTTTAAACCACTGAACACATAGCAGGTTAACAATATGCTACTACAAATGTTACCAATGATACTTTATAAATCCCACAACATTAAAAGCACTCCTATTTTTTCAGTGATAAGCCAACTCGCCCGCACGAATAAAATATTTGTTTTCTATGACCATTTAATACACACTCAAACTTAGACACTCTGCTATCTAATGATTAGCTTCAGAGCCTGCATGGTCAAACTCTGGTTTGTCTGAACATTTCGCTTTCAATTATTCAACAGCCTTGACAAATAATTCTAAAAAGGTGACTTTGTTCTAGTTAACTTCAGCTGCAAAATGGTTAGGGTCTCTGGAAGATCACGCCACCTGGTCTTGCCTAGGCAACGTAACATTACATTTGAGACTGCAGACACAACTTTTAAAAAGGTAGATTTGTTAAATAAAGCCAGCGTGATAGGTTAAAATTTTAATTAAATTGGTGATTTCTGATTGAATAGATTTCCTCTGCACCTTGGGGAAAATGAATGTTGTGAGAAAAGGGGAATTAATTTGTTGGAGCTTTCCTTGATGTCTTTCACCCAGGCTTGGAAAGAGCATCATGAAAAAGAGTGCTCTTTTGGAAACTACGCACACAACATATTTTTCCTAATAGGTGTGAAGAATGGCTGCTATGCATAAATGATTGTTGGAAAGTAATTCTCTGTAAAACATGACTAAACAAGCAACTCCGTTCACTACTGTACTCATTCCGATATCCAGAGCAACAGGACACATCTCACAGACGCCAGTGTTCCTCTTTGTTACTTAATAAACACCTTTCAGGAAAAATCCACAACTTTAAGCCCGTAACTGAGTAAATTGGAGAATGCAAGTTTTAAGGGAAAATTAATACTAACAACCTTGAACAAGTCACAAGACATCAGAGTTCTCTTCTGTAGGAAACTAAGTTGTAACACCTTCCCAGGACGCCTATTATTTCTCCGGTCCATGGTGAAGTGAAGGGACTGAGACCTAGCAGCCCGGACCCGAGAACCCCTAAACATCACAAGCAAACCGCAGTTCTGCAACAGAAGAACGAGGCGCCCTCCCCACTTTCCCTGTTAGTCATCCCAGGGACCCCCAAAGCTTTCAATCCCCCTCACCCCAGACCCTCCTTACCTGGAATTGTCTCACTGGGCAGCCGGGAGGGGAGACTCAGATCGCCTGGACCGGAGACGCGCGCCTCGGGACAGGTGCGGATAGGTGCACCTGTCCAACCCGGGAAGCTCAGGCGCGGGGAGCCGGCCACCAGCCCCTGGGGTGCCGAGTCCTAGTTGGACGTGAGAGCACACTGCGTTAGTCTAGAGCTCCCCACTGCTCACCCCTCCAGATTCCCAGCACTTGGGCCCTGCTGTAAAGGACGGATTCACACCGAGCCCCAGGCAGTCCTATGGGCTGGCGTCTGCCGAAGCGCGGGAGCTCACCTTGGCGGCGCCTGCCCGCGCTGGCCCCGCTGTGAGGCTGAGCGCAAACTTCCC